AATAATCGGATGGGGCTCACCGATCTGTTGAGGGAACACGCATGTTCCGTTTTTGCCCTGAAGATCACCGTAGAGCCCTCGTATGCAATTGTATAGTGACTTGTAGAGTATGCTGAAGTGGAACCGACAAAGACAAGGTAGGCTGGAATGGCCGTTTCTGGCTTATTAGACCTCATTAGCCAGCCATACCCAATCCTTGATTATGGAACCCGCCATCAGTTAATTAGAAATCCAACGCCTTAACCAGTAAACCACTGACTCGTTGTCCTGTCGGCTGTGGTCGGGTATATTAACAGTGTTGGAGGGGCGCCACCGAACGTGCTTCATGCTTCAATCCGAGCCATACCATCAGCTGCACAGCGAGGAGGGCTATAGAGAGAAGGACATCACCACCTGAAATTACCAATCACTGTGCGATTGCCTGCGAGTCAGCCATTTCTTTGACGCAATGGTAGATCGTCAAACTTGGAAATGGCTAAATATCGAAGAATCCGATTTTGAATCACAAACTATCACAATCGGTGTTTGGATATATACATGGATCAGGTGCGTAGACAACAACGAATAAAGAAGATGGAATCAAAATATTCTCTATTTTATTCTTCCTTATTTTGGCCCGTGTATGGTTATGCGCAGTCTTCGCATCAAAATTCAACTCGTGGATTTTGTGGCATGCTTTGGTGGAGGTCATAACACAAGCCTCTTTGACGAATTGTGTTTCTGCTGGCTTTGGTCAGTTTGGGTCTAAATTTAAATTCCAACGGGGAGGGCAGAGGGTTTTTTTGGAGCCTTTCGAAAATTTCGGGCAAATATATTTCTAGAACAGTCTGTTGGACGATCATACTCTGTCGAAGCCGACAAGATGAACACGTATAAAACAGTTTCCATGATTGGTAGCTGTTCATTTACCGTAACGGAAGGTTCAGGAATGCAAATCCTTTTCCCCCATATTAGCAGCCGGTCCACCGGCAGATCAGTTAAATTTGGAAAACATAATTCTTGTGCTTGGAGGGCCCTACTGCGGTCTGTGGTGTGGAGGCACTTGACCAAAAAGGGGGCTCCGATTGGTTCATGGCACACGTTTATGTATAAGAGGGACGTGGTGGCATTCCGAGACTGTCTACCATTACGCTGCGTTGGGCATTTCCTTCAATTCCATGCTCAGCAGAGTCGCAGTCTCAGCCAGTAAACTAGGGCATGATAGAGGGCAGACAGACTGAAGGCATCCCTGGGAATTCATCATCACAGCACATAAGTGGGTTGCTTACTATAGCATCTATGACGCACTTGACTCTGCCACGATGCAATAATAGTTTTACTTTGGAATAATTCGGCTCTTCTGTGGAGTGATAATTAGGCTACGATAGTTCGTCCTTAACGTGACTCCCTTTGAATTCTTATGCATGTGAGATCCGCGTTGTCTACGTGAAGACCGAGTACGTGCTACGCGTGTGTCTGAAAAGCGCAGGCGGGCTATTAGGTACGGAGCCAAGGTCCACTTCCGGTCGTCTTGACGCTGTCCAACCATGGTAGCGAGGAGGGTGTGTGCGGTAAAAGCCTCTTACTGGTATGCAAAAGCCGCATTAGTCATCCCCAGGCCCATGTGGCTAATCTCTGATTGGCCAGCACCACTTATAACTGTTGCTTGCTCTGTTGCTGTTGTCAGCTCTGATGACGGATTGTTGCACGAGGTCGAAAATTGAGAATAGTCTTCTTCCTCTTCCTTTCTCACACATACTTCTGTAACTGAAATATTCGCCTTTAGCTGTTAACTTCGTAAATTGGCTCTTTTTTACCTAAAGATACCAGAAGCTAGTTCTTAACCGTGCGAAAAACTTGAACAGGTGGTGCAGGTGGGTGAGGAAGGAGAGTGTGTGGTAGAAAATGTGAACCCGCCTCGTACTATTGTAAATTAATTCACGCGCAGGTAAAAGTCCTGCGACCACTCCACGGCAAACAGAGTGTCTGTCTTGGTTCGTTACAATCAAACTGCCGTATGCAAAGAACCAAAAGGTTAACAGCATTCGGGATCTGCGCTGTCTGTTCAGGGAACGAGGCTGATGTTATTTGCATTTCGCAGTTGGAGTTTCTTACCTGTTTTTTTTCTAGATCCTATACTCCTACTGGCTAAGATAGAATTGATACCTTCTGCGGATATCCAAGAAGTGTGTATATTTACTTCCTTATCTAAAAGTTATTAACCGCCGTTCGTCTTCATAAAGTTTTCAGCCTACCGAAGGCCGGCTACAGGAGGCAGCTAATCCAAAAATATCATTCTTATTTTAATGTTTTGCATAAAACATCATTCAACGTTAACATTTTTAGGCTTACAAACTTTGAAACGATATTTCAGGACTTGGCTACTCATAACTTGTTAACCTTATAACGAACTAATAACTGATGATAAACAAAATTATCATGATCTAATGTGCCCCTTTCATTTTGCTTCTTGAGTATAACAGCAAGATCATACTTGCGTTCTGCGGAAGGCCAACGAGAAGGCCTTTACTTCATTAGATTCAAAGTTGCAAGCCAACGATAGTTTCAGCGGATAAGAAACCTTTAAATCATTGGCATGTTTAACGCAAACTATCTTTTGTGACGTTTAACTCCATACACTTAATAGCTAATTTGGCTTCCGAAATATACTTCATTCAAAAGCAGCATTGCATCTTCATCGTTTTATTTTGCAAAAGGCATTGTCTGTTTTTACTATCACTCGGTTTCACCTACTGTGGTTCTCAGTAAACAATTATGCTAGACAGTTTGACCGTCGTTTTCGGCGATGCTCCACAACAGGGTAGTGCAAGGACGGTGACTTGGGCTGGATTATAGTGAGAGTATACTTATGTTGCATCTGCCTCACACTCTACCTACTCTTGCACCAGTGCCCGGTGTCAAGGCAAAGCCAAGAAGATCGAAAATGAGACAGGGCGTAGGTCCACGCATTAGAAAACTGCAGAAAAGTTGGGGGCGGCTCTGATCTTAGCTGAGTGGGAGGGCCATAAATGCAACATGAAAAGGAACCATTTCAGGCTGATTCCTAGTCTGCTAGTCAGTCACTGGGCTGACCGTGCAGTCCGAGTTACCCCGTCAATTGGAAACCACCAAACCCACGGCTATTAGCGAAACCTAATAGCTTTAAGCACGTCACATTGTTAAAAAAATGTTCAACTGTCAACCTCACTCTCTCCCTAACCTGAGACATCAGTCCACCGTCCGAGCCGGTAATTTGTCTGATACGGGTTGGAGACAGAGGATGACAAGGCTGCCAAACCCGTTTGCGAGCGCAATAGCACGATTTAATCCCCGTGATACAGACACAAAGATTTACACAACCAGCAGATAATAAAGAGCCGTCGTAAAAGAACGAAACTCTCTAAATGAAAAATAAATATACCTGATTAAATATACTATAAACATGGACTGGTCCATTTTCGTTTATTTCCTTAAGATACACATAACAGTGTGTGTGTAATGTCCAATCAGACTTTTTATTCCTTCCCTGACTGTGAATGGTTTTCAAATGCACAGAAAGCAGTGCATAAATAGAATGCGTCGTTTTTAGGAGGCTATTCTGTCTAAAAATATGTTCTAGAATTTAGGCATTGAAAAAGTAATTTGACTGCATAAAACATGCCCATTAAATGCTAAGTAAATCATGACTATTTATTTTGAAGCAGGTATGAGGTAGAGTAAAGAAAATGAAACGGTTTCAACCTAACGACCATGCATTTGTTCTTTTAAGACGGCAACACACCCAACTTTTCATATAAATGCTTATATGAGAATACATGCGAATGCTAATTTCATGAGCCATCACTTCACAGCCTGTGTGAACAAAATAACTGACTGGTAAATAATGCCAATATTCGCTACTCGATTAGGGAAAATTGTGCACACACGTGAATTTCATATCATCAGGTAAGCAGTTGAATTCACAAATATATAAAGATCCGGGAAGCTTAATTTTCAATATAGATAATTAAATGGCAACTTACCGCCGTTGTGAGAAATTGGGATATTCGATGCGTGATTATTGGATACTTTAGAATAGTTGTTATATTGGGCCGATCTCTAAAATGTTTTGAGAACAACTAATTGAAGATTTTATCAAATTTCAAGAATTTAATTTCTTATTTATTGTTTTTTTTCTTGTAGGAAATTTCAATAATCTAACATGACGTATTCGCCAAAACATTAAAACCATGTCACCTGAACCCAATTTTTAAAGAGTTTTCCACAAATACCATATGATTAGCTCATAAGCAAACATTAGTTTCGCCTGGTCACCTATTATAGGCTTGCGACATAAAACTGTTTTTCTTTTACAAATCGGTGGAGAACGCAAAATGCAACAAATTGGTGGGGCCTATCCTTTGTTTACAATTAGGTTCTTAATAACGTAATTACTTGACCATTCAATGTATTTAGAGGAACAGGGAGGTTTGTGATTTGCAATGTATGTTTTTTAAAAATTCTGTAGTGATGGTTAATGGAAATGCATAAAATCAGTAGACATTCTCGCAGTTAATTCAAAGAGTGTGTGGAATTGGGCCTATTTATTCGCGATTTACTTAACTTCTAGCTTCCCAAGCACGTTAAAAATGTCATTAAGTCACCCGTTAACGTACCTCGGATTTCTTTTGAACAGACTTGAAATAAGGTTCCTTAGTTCGGGACTGTACTTCAGAGGAACTGGGGGATATGTTCCTCTTCAAAATAAGTTGTACTTCACATTACCTGATAATTTTTAATACAAGATTTTTCATATTTCCAGCATCGAACTGAAAGTATTGCAAGTTTCGAAAATTTACTTACTGCATGCTTGAGCGTTGTTAATTCGTACAATACACAGCCCAGAGCCCAGATATCACTTTTGTTATTGTAGGGTTTATTTTCGCATATTTCCGGCGATAAATAGTATGGAGTTCCAATGCAAGTACGAGCAAGATCTAACGTGCTGTTCAGAACTTTTGCTATTCCAAAGTCTCCTAGCTTCACTCTTCCATCTCGCGTCAAAAATACGTTCTAAAACTGTGAAAACTAGAACTTCATACTTGGGATTTGATATCTCTGTGTAGAATCATCCTGTCATGTATATGTTTGACGGCTAAGGAGATTTGTGAAAACCAGTCCAAAATCTACCAAAATAAGATTCAAAGCCTGCTACCTGTTTTTCAGTAAAAAGAATTCCGTTCTGCGAATTAATTTTTGAATACAAATCACCACCGTCACAGTATTCCATCACAATGTGAATTGAACCGGTATCTGTTTACATTTCTTGTAAGTTGTCAAGAACATTTAACCTTCGAAAGATTGGCAGTATTTAACAATATTCGGATGGTTCATTTGCGCCAATACAGACACCTTGAAAATATATGTACCTTGAATCCAGCGCTTACCTCTCTACGAGACTCTTCTATTTCCTTTTTGCTCAACTGTATGGCATTTAGAACAAAATTCAACTCACGTTTAATATTGGAATCTCCTTAACAACCAGAGGTATTTTTGTTGCCTTCTCGTGTACCAACCATGCTCTCCCAAAAGCTCCTTCTCCAATCTTTTTAATTTTTTCATATCTCTCCATAACGAGAAAATGATACGCGCGACCGCCCGGTCGAATGACCTAGAGGATAGCCTAAACGTTTAATTGCAGTTAAACAAACAGCTTTCCGTATGGGTTGCTGTGTCAACCGCAAAATAATCTCAAAGTTCGGGCTCGAGACTTTATACACACGAAGACTGGTCCGCATTGCCTCAAGAATCTGTAATACATTTAACACCTAGTGACACCCTCTGCCGCTCTGCGGAAGTCTACGAAAGAAAAGTACTGCAGATGGAGCAGCAAACATAGCGAAAGATTAATAACATCGCAGTCAAGCTCCAGTCTCGCAATGGTTGAAAATAAATGTTTTGGCCAATCGTTTTTGGGGCTGTCGGAAGGATGTTGCACTGCTACTTCTAACTATTGTGTGTTTGTCAGTGTGTCATTTCATATCCTTTGGTATCAGAACATTGCTATTAGGGTAAACACTGACCCCCCCCACGAAAATATATTACTTTGGTTTAATTAATTTACTTATAGTTTATTTTATTTTTATGTGAAGTTTTAGTTTTGATTTTAGTTTATTATTAAGTCTTATCTGTTTTGCTTTAGTTTTAGATTCCTCTTTAGTTGAGCTTGTTTTCTTATTTTCGTATACCTTCTCATTTAGTTTACATATGTTTTTAGTCTAGTAACAATTTATCAGGGACATTTATTTATTTATGCGGTTTTCTCTTTTTTTATAATCCACTTTACTTTAATCTAGAAAAGTCTCAGTTTCGGCGTTGTTCCAAAAATTTCGGCCGTTCCCGATACTTGCGTAGTTGCACTTACTTCGGAATCCTACTTTTCTATTAACTGTACTTGTCTTTTTTATTTATGGCACGTTTTTTGCCGAACATAAGTTAAATTAAATATTTTTTCCCATTTTTCTGCATTTATAAACTCTAATTTTTATTCATTTTTTTCTTTTCTCTGTAATGCCCAGACTGTATAATCGTTATTACAGCCGGTGCCGTAATGCACTATTATAGGATTTTCGCGTGCCTTTCCGATCCCTAAACGTGACTTCTTCGCCGCTCCCAGCTAGAATGGAAGAATGGTCCACGATTAATCGCCACTAAGGCGTGTGATTTTGGGTTTGACTGCTTCATCTGGTGGACTTCAAGCCCACAAAATACTCCAGTAGCACCAACCAGCTGATTATCATCATCCCAAACTGACTCGTCGATTCCCATCCATTACTGGTATTCCCACACTTAAGATGATTTTATCTTGCTATGTCCTATTCTTGCCTACAATATTTGGTTTTCTATATACTTTTTGGATTCTGTTTGTGCCATAAAAATGAGAAGAAGTACAATTAGACAATCAAAATCCCTTCTATTATACCGGGCTCACATAGCCGCAAACCCCCGACAGAGCAGAATAGTGATCGCACGGCCAATGTTCATCTGCTGAGAAGCTAGAAGCACTTGCTACATGGCTGGATATCCTGATCATGAATGACATTCATCCGCCTCATATTGACTGGGCCTCATCCGAAGCAAATGGCTGAGAACGAATCGTTGACGGTCCTCTCCTAAACATGACGCTCATGTTATTCCTTGTGTAGCTTGTCTCGTTTCCAACCGGTATTCACAAGGGCTAACTACGTTGACAGAGAACACATGAAATCTGAGGACAACATCTATAACGTGTCTTG